CTCTGGGAGTCTTTCGGATGCACTTTGAAGCCGTCTCGAGGGTCTCTCGGGACCCTTTTCGGTGCAGTCTGCGCCCTACCGGGGCTCCCGGGGTATTTTCGATGACCTTCCAGGCCCTCTTGGCGCCATATTGAAGGCAATCGACAAGAAGGGGGGGTCTGCAATTTCCTCCCTGAGCGCCCTGATGTTCGCTTTCTCGCCTGGGCCAAGATGGACACTCCAGGTGTACAATCACGGAAGCCTTCTGTCATGCTGGCCTAAGGGCTTACTATTTGTTTTCTCTTATGTAGGTTTGTCCTCATGTCTTACTATTGTTAAGGCATTCTGGCCAGTGCCGCCGACCCTGGAGGCCTCGGCCCTCTACGGGCATGAGAGGCAGAAGGCGGGCCATGGGCCTTGTGAGGGTGGTATTCTTACCCAGGGCTACACCCGGGGACCCCCCCGGGACCCTCCTCAATGGGAGGGAGAGGGCGGGCCATGGGCCCCGGGAGGGTGGTATTCTGAGCTCGGACCACCTCAGGACCACCCCCAGGGATCCCCCCCGGGACCCCCCCCGGGACCCCCCCCCCTCCGCGGGGAAGGGATCAAAGGGAATCCTTTCGACTCAATGACAACGTTGCTTAATTTCGCGGTGCATGGGCTGGTTCTCTTATGCAGGTTTGTCCTCATGGCTTATCATTTGTTTTTCGCGGAAGGGCCAGAGCGTAGGTCGGCAGGTGGCTTGGCGCCGGCTCTCCGTTCCGGATTGTGGGCGACATTCCGAACGCACATGCTCCTCAAGACCCTATGCTCCCCAGGCGATTCCAACGCGTTGCGTGAAAACAGAATGTGCTGTTTTTACCTAACAGCGAAGACTGATAGGTTTCTAGTGGGGTCAAAAGAAAGCATCTTGACGCTCCATGGGAGTCTGGGCGGGATCCGGACAAAACCGGACAAAACCGGCAGCCCCAGGAATCCTTAGGAATCCTTAGGAATTCCTAGGAATCCTTAGGAATGGAATTCCTAGGAATCCTTAGGAATCCATTCCCAGAACACCATTCTCAGGCCACATTTTGAATGCCCAGAGCCAACTGTAGGCCACTTCGTGTTCTTCGTGTTCCCAGAGCACCATTCCCAGGCCACATTTTGAATGCCCGGAGCCAACTGCAGGCCACTTCGTGATCTTCGTGCTCCTAGATCACCATTCCCAGGCCACATTTTGAATGCCCGGAGCCAACTGTAGGCCACTTCGTGTTCTTCGTGTTGCCAGATCACCACTCCCAGGCCACATTTTGAATGCCCGGAGCCAACTGTAGGCCACTTCGTGTTCTTCGTGTTCCCAGATCACCACTCCCAGGCCACATTCTGAATGCCTGGAGCCAACTGTAGGCCACTTCGTGTTCTTCGTGTTCCCAGAACACCATTCCCAGGCTACATTTTGATTGCCCGGATCCAACTTTGAGGCTGAGGCTGAGGCAGGCTGAGACTGAGCCTGAGGCAGGCTGAGGCTGAGGCTGAGGCTGAGGCTGATGCAGGCTGAGGCTGAGAGGCTGACGCTGAGGCAGGCTGAGGCTGAGGCTGAGGCCGAGGCAGGCTGAGGCTGAGCTGCTGAGGCAGGCTGAGGCTGAGGCAGGCTGAGGGCTGAGGCTGGCTGAGGCTGAGGCAGGCTGAGGCTGAGGCAGGCTGAGGCTGAGGCTGAGGCTGAATCTGAGGCTGAGGCTGAGGCAGGCTGAGGCTGAGGCTGAGGCTGAGGCTGAGGCTGCTGAGGCAGGCTGAGGCTGAGGCTGAGGCTGATGGCTGAGGCTGAGCTGAGCTGAAGGCTGAGGAAGAGCTGAGGCTGAGGCTGAGGCAGGCTGAAGGCTGAGGAGAGGCCAAGGCACTGATAGGCCGAGGCTGAGGCTGAGGCTGAGCAGCCGAGCAGGCTGAGGCTGAGGCTGAGAGGCTGAGGCAGTGCTGAGGCTGAGGCTGAGGGCTGAGGCTGAGGCTGAGGCTGAGGCAGGCTGAGGCTGAGGCTGAGGCAGGCTGAGGCTGAGGCTGAGGCCGAGGCAGGCTGAGGCTGAGGCCGAGGCAAGCCTAGGCAGGCTGAGGCTGCGACTGCGAGAACAGCAGAATTCTACAACTGGATTCTCACCTGAATCTTAAGGGGAATGCTTCCAGATATGCTTCTACACATCGCTGTTAGGTTGCTTTGCCGGGATAATGTGTTTCTTTCCTTCTTTGAAACGGGTGGTTGGAGCTGAATTGAAGTTATCCTACTGTTTGCGAAGCTCAAAGCCCACAGGCTCCTCTACAGTCAGTGGATTCTGTTGCCAGTGAAGATTTTGACTGCAATGGCGTCCCTCAAGTTTTGACCGTCCCAGTAGGCGTTGGACTCCCTTCCCCCGTAGAATTCTACACTGTCGTGTCCGGCGGCGGCGGAGTAGATTCGGCCCCAGTGCGAGGGCGTAGCCATCACGTGCACAACATGAATTATTCACTGCATGGAGCTCCCCACAGGTGCATCTATTCGCATGGACCTGTCCGCCGTGAATGTCTAGGCGCAAGAGCTTTCGAGTATAAACGGGCTTCAGTTGTGACGGTCTGGTCATGAATCTAACTGAGAATGAATTGGAGTGTGAATGAGCCTCAGTAGTACGAGCGCGTCTCTGCGCAGGAGCCTGGGTCCTCCTGGGGCCTCCTGGGGCCTCCTGAAACCTACTGGGGCTTCCTGGGGCCTCCAGTTGACTCTTGGGGCCTCCTGGGGCCTCCTGGGACCTCCTAGGGAGGATTCGTGCCCCAGGAGATGCCCAATCTATAGCAACAGACGTACATAAAACATTGCGGATTGGAGCCACAGGAGAAGGGTGCAATCTACAGGAACACATGTAAAACACCATGGACTCCTGCCCCAGGAGAGGCCCTATAGGAACATAAATACACAGGAGAAAGACAATCTATAGAAGCATACGTATAACATCAAGGATTCGTGCTCCAGGTGAGGCCCAATCTATAGGAGCATACGTAAAACACATGGGATTGGAGCCACTCCTGTTGCCTTCTGAGGCCTCTTCCGAGGCCTCCTGGCGCTTCCTCTGGCCTCCTGGGGCCTCCTGTGGCTTCCTGAGGCCTACCGGGGCTTCCTGGGGCCTCCCAGAGCCTCTTGGGACATCCTGTGGCCTCTTGAGTCTTTCTGTGGCCTCCTGATGCCTCCTGGGACCTCATGTGGTCTCCTGGGGCCTCCTAGAGCCTGTTGGAGCCTCCTGTGGCATCCTGAGGAGAATCTGTGCCCACGAGTCTGGCCACCGATCGAGACATGCTCAAAATCTGGCCCACCTGGGGGGTGAACATGAGCGCCTCGCTCGAGACATCCTCCAAATCTGCTCCGAAAGCGAAGGATGTTGTGACAGAAAACTGGCAAACCGCTGGCGACATCCCCACAAAACGGCCGCGAACGGGACCGTGAGATAACCCCTGGCGGTTCCCCTTAGGGGGGTGAAAATGAGCGCCTCGCTCGAGGCATCCTCCAAATCTGCTCCGAAAGCGAAGGATGTTGGGACAGAAAACAGGCAAACCGCTTGAGACATCCCCACAAAACGGCCGCGAACGGGGCGTGCGTGAGTCTCAGCATGAGTAAGTCTGAGTACGAGTAGGTCTGAGTATGAGTAGGTCTGAGTATGACAAATTTTGTGTGTGAGTAAGTCTGGGTATGAGTAAGTCTGAGTGTGAGTCAGTCTGTGTTTGAGTAAGTCTGGGTATTATCAGGAGAGGGGAGGAGAAGAGGAAGAAGAAGGAGGAGTAGGGGGCGTCCAAGTAATAACAATAACCCCATCTTAGGATATGGGGAACAATGGCATCAACACTAACGCTGACACACGTTTCATAATTAACATGGCATCCACATCTGCACCATTCTGTAGCCAGCACTTTCATCGCCCTCTGCCGCGTCCACTGACGCTGTGAAAACGCGCCTGTTTCCCCTCCATCATCCCTCCCGCTTACAACATCCAGCCCCTCGCAGCTCCATTCTCCATCGTCCCGTGATATGGCTGGGTATGCTGTGCAGACCGGCTTTTCCATCATCGCCTGCCTTCTCCCCTGGCGTTCCGACGGCGTCATCCCGCCTCCTCTCCCCTGCACCCTCCCCTCCTCCACCTCCTCCCCCTCCTTCTCCTCCTCCTCCTCCTCCTCCTCCTCCTCCACAATTATTCAATATGAAAACTACTCCCTCTTCCCCTGATGACGGCTTGAAAGTTTTAGCCCCCCCCGCGTATTGTTTATTACACACAGGATTCCCCGGAGTTGGGTTTTCGCCTGCATTTTTTTCCAAAATGCTGCTCTCGCTGAGGCGCCGGCCTCATTTTCGGGCCCCGCTCGTTCCGCATCGTGCTCCCGCTGCAGCGCTGGCCTCATTTTCGGGCCCCGCTCGTTCCGAATCGTGCTCCCGCTGCAGCGCTGGCCTCATTTCCGTGCTTCCGCTCGTTCCGAATCGTGCTCCCGCTGCAGCGCTGGCCTCATTTCCGCGCTTCCGCTCGTTCCGATTCGTGCTCCCGTTGCAGTGCTGGCGTCATTTCCCGTGCCATGCCACGGCATGCAATGCAATGCTAGGTTGATACTACGCTTTGCGGTGCTCTTCTACGCCATGCCATGCCGTGCTCCACAATGCATCGCGTACCCTTTCGGGATCATTGCCCTGCTCGACATCCGACTGTGCGAGTAGAGAGGGGATCTACGCCATGGTAAGGGATGGGAGGGAGGGGTAGGATGTCAGATATGACGCGAGCGCACCTAGCTTGTCCTCCTCCTCCTCCTCCTCCTCCTCCGCCTCCGCCTCCGCCTCCGCCTCCGCTCCGCCTCCCCCCATCCTCCTCTTCCTCCTCCTCCTCCTCCTCCTCTCCTCCTCCTCCTCCTGCTCACTCCTCCCCTCCTCCTGCTCCTCCTCCTTCACCTCCTCCTCCTCCTCCCTCCCTCTCTCCTCCCTCCTCCCTCCTCCTCCTCCTCCTCCTCCTCCTCCTCCTCCTCCTCCTCCCCCCCTCCGAGCGCAGGTATGCAGCCGCTCGTGGCTCCCTGGCCGCGCTCGCTGCCTGCCGGCGATCGCCCCCCCCGCCCCGCGCGACAGTGTGCTGCTGCCCCGCGCGCTCGTGAGCTCCCGCGCTGGCACTTTCGGGCGTCAGGAACAAGTCTGTATTTTTGGATTCCCTCCTCCTCCTCCTCCTCCACCATCCCTCTTCCTCCCTCCTCCTCCTCCTACCCTCCTCCTCACTCCTCCTCCCTCCTCCTCCTCCTCCTCCTCCTGCACCTCCTCCTCCTCCTCCTCCTCCTCCTCCTCCTCCTCCTCCCCGCGCGCTCGTGAGCTCGTGAGCCCCTTTCGGGCGTCAGGAACAGTATGTATTTTTGGACTCCCAGATTCTAGTCTACTTTAAGCGCCGTTCTACTTCAGTGATCGAGTGGCTTCGCCTTTTCCGTCCTCCTTCGGGGGGCGGGCGGACACCCAGTCTATCTTCAACGCCCTCGTACTTCATGTTTCTACCTACCTCTTCCGACCGATGGGTATGTTCGGCTGCAGCTCTTGAGAGGTCAAATTCTGACTCTGAAATTCCGCTTCATCGGGTTTCCTCCCTTCTATTCCAGCCGAGTCCCGCTTAATTTGGCTTGACTGATCCCGCTTGATCCGCGGCCTAATCTGGCGTAACAGCCCTCCAATGGGGCTTAATCTCGGAAGCTGAAACACATACGAAGCACATGCCACCACGGCCCTTTCGTATTAAGAAGAGGTGGAGGAGGACGGAGAGGGAGGAGGAGGAGGCGGATGATGATGATGATGATGATGATGATGATGATGATGATGATGATGATGATGATGGTGATGATGCTGATGATGATGATGATGGATGCTGATGCTGACGCTGATGCTGATGCTGATTCTGATGTTGATGCTGCTGATGATGATTACGATGCTGATGATGATACTGATTCTGATGATTATGCTGATGCTGATGACGATGATGATGACGATGGATGATGATGACGATGATGATGCTGATTCTGATGATGGTGATGATGCTGGTGGTGGTGGTGGTGGCTGTGGTGGTGATGATGATGATGACGATGACGATGACGACGATAACGACGATGATGATGATGAGGAGGAGGAGCAGGAAGAGAAGGAGAAAGAAGAGGAGGAGGACGAGGAAGAGGAGGAGGGGGAGGTGGAGAGGTGGAGGAGGAAGAGGTGGAGGGGGATGAACGATGAGATGATGATGCTGCTGATGCTGCTGATGCTGCTGATGCTGATGCTGATGCTGTTGCTGATGCTGTTCCTGATGCTGATGATGATGATGATGATGATGATGATGATGAGGAGGAGGAGGAGGAGGAGGAGGATGATGATGATGATGATGATGGTGATGATGATGATGCTGGTAATGATGAGATGATGATGTTGATGCTGAGGATGCCGATGATGATGATGATGCTGAATAATCTGATGATGATGCTGATGATGATGATGATGATCATCATGCTGACGTCGATGCTGATGATGATGATGATGATGATGTTATGGTAATGATGATGCTGATGATGGTGATGAGGATGCTGCCGATGCTGCTGATGATGCTGATGATGATGTTGATTTCGATGACGCTGGCGATGATGAGGTCAATGATGATGGCGATGCTGCTGCTGATGATGATGATGATTGTGGTGGTGATGATGATGCTGCTGCTGATGCTGCTGATGCTGAGGATGCTGATGATCATGATGATGATGATGATTCTGATGATGCTAATGTTTATGATGATGATGGTGATGGTGATGGTGGTGATGACGACGATGACGATGATGATGCTGATGATGCTGATGCTGTCGATGCTGATGCTGATGATGATTCTGAGGCTGATAATGATGGCATTGCTCATGCTGTTGATGCTGATGATGATGATGTTGGTGATGCTGATGTTGATGATGATGCTGATGTTGTTGATGAGGAGGGTGATGATGCTGATGCTGCTGATACTGATGATGTCGACGATGCTGATGATGATGGCCGTGATGCTCATACATCGAATTATGCTGCTCATGATTCTGGTGTTGTTGATGAGGATGATGATATTGCTGATGATGGCGGTAGTGATGATGCTGCTCATGATGATGAATATGATGATGCTGATGCTGATGATGGTGGTGATGATGTTGCTGATGATGATGGTGATGCTGATACTGACGATGTTGCATACTACAATGGCGATGCGGATGATTACGAGGAGGAGGATGAGTAAATACGAGCAGACGTAAATTTCACATGTGTACATATCAGTAGATGTTCTTGCAGTTGTAGATATCACGCGTTCCTGCCCAATGTTGTCATACGTTGTATGTTGCATGCTTGCAGTTGTATCTAAGAGGTATTTTTACGGTTGTGATTCCTGGGCGGAAGGAGTAGGAACATGGGGGATGATAACGACGAGGAAGGGCAGTGACGACTAGAACGAGGAGAACGAGGAAGATTAGTAGTAATAGTAGTAGTAGTAGTAGTAGTAGTAGTAGTAGAAGTAGTAGTAGTAGTAGTAGTAGTAGTAGTAGTAGTAGCAGTAGTAGTAGTAGTAGTAGTAGTAGTGGCAGAGATAGTAGTAGATATAGTAGTAGTAGTAGTAGTAGTAGTAGTAGTAGTAGTAGTCGTAGTCGTAGTCGTAGTAGTAGTAGTAGTAGTAGTAGTAGTAGTAGTA